TATTTTCTAACACAGATGATTTTAATTAATCTAAAATGAAGGAACAAGGACACAGGGAAACCTAAGTGATCCATGTTCACACATAGTTTAACTTTTGTTACAAATGCCTCTCTCCTGGAGCTCCATGCCCTCCAAAAGTGATAATGAGACAGCACCCTACTGGACTGACTGGCAAAGTCACAAGAGAGAATTTCAAGAATCTCTGGCCTCTGATATACAATCCCTTTTGTTTACCTACATTTAATTGAAGACATCTGCCAGTGGTGCCACGCAAAATGTAATTCCGACTGAGAAATGTCAATAAAAAGGTCTGGAAGGCAGAGGCCCGATGTAAACCTAGCAGGGAAGCACCCCCCAGCAGCTATAGAGCCACACAGAGTTAGAGTAAGATGGAAATATGCTGCCTGACTTGATGAGGTGATAAAAGCTCTTTTCCCATAAAGCTTAATGAGCGCTATTAGTCTTCAGCTTACCGGAATGTAAAAGGGTCAGCCCTGGAGAGGGCAGTGAGACTCTCCACACAAGGTCCATTCAAATGACAACGGATCACATTACTCGTGTCATTACTATAACTTGACAATTTCATTAGATTCATGTGGCAGTTAAATATTTAGGACTTACAACAAAGGGACATGGTTCATTCATGGGAGTTTTTACGGACAAGGTGAAATTTAGCATCAACTTGATTTTTCAACTCTAAGTCTCATGTATTTCTTTTATTGTCTCTATCACACTACTTTTCTTCAAAATCAGGGAAAATGCTGGATATTAATTAAACATTTACAGACTTCCAACATTCTCTGGCCTAAGGTTTCCTTTGATCTCAGACACAGTGTGGTGAAAGGACCAATCCTGAGGTGAGGGTTACTGAAGGGAGACAGGGGTTTGGCCACTGCTGACTAAGCCACCAGGCATCCTCTTCAGAGAGAAGATCATTGCTCAACACAAGCCTTTGGAGCTGGGGGGTGGGGGAGCTGGGAAGGGGGCTGAGTCAAAGGAGAAGTGAAGGAGAAGACAGTGATGACGACATTGACCACAACAATAACTATCTTAAAAACAAGCCAGGCAGGATGGCACACTCCTGTAATCCTGCTAACTAACTCAGGAGACAGAGGTAGGAGGACTGTGTTCTAAGACAGGTCCTGGACAAAACCCACAAGACCCTGCCTAACAAATGACTAAAGCAAAAGGGCTGAATGCATGGCATAAGTGATAGAGCACCTGCCTGCCTAGCAAGTATGAGGTTCTAAGTTCAAACCCCAGTACCATGAAAAATCAAACAAACCAACAACAACAACAAAAAAAAGGCAAATTAATCAACAGAAACCCTCAAAGAAAACCACCAAAGAAAAGAGAAGTGCATTGATAATATTTAATTTCTTGCTAGGCAACTCTTGAGAGGCAACTCGGCGAAACTCCTTCTGCTAATAACCCTTCCTCCCAGCCCCTCCTCTAAGCTCTAGTTGAAGTTTTTTGACAGAAATATCATTAGTAAGTGACATGCTGGCAGGTCACATCTGTAACCGTAACTATTCAAGAGACTAAAATTTCAGGTTTGCAATTTGAAGCCAGCCCAGGCAGAGAAGTCCAATTAACAGACAAAATGCTGGAAATGGAGGTGTGACTCAAGTAGTAGAGTTCTACTAATAATTGGAAAACAAAACAAACAAACAAGCAAGAGGGTGTGAAACTCTTGAGTTTAAGCCCAGTACTGGCATTTAAGAAAAAAAGAAAAGAAAAAGAGGAGGAGGAGGAGGAGGAGGAGGAGGAGGAAGAGGAGAAGAGGAGGAAGAGGAGGAAGAGAGGAGAAATTGCTAACATTAATTATATCTCTATCCATTGTGGATCTTCAGTATTCTATATTTCTCCTTCCTAATTTCTGCATTTTTAAATTAAGACATGTTTATATAATTTTGCATACTGCATTTGCCTCAATATAACACTGGCATCTTGCATACACTATTTTTTAGTAATTCAAGAATGCACATTCGTGATCTCCCTTTTAAGATTTAAGATGATCTATCACATCTAGGTGACATGATTCATTTGCCTCTTTTGTTATTGTTGGGTCAGTTAGGTTGCCTGGTCATGATTTTTTTGCCATTATAAATAATGTCATATTAAACTATTTAATGCAAGTACTGTCCTCGTCTCTGAAGCAATGACTCTTAGATCATTACCAACCACAGGTATGAATGGACACAGACCTGTCATCTCATGACTCACAGCAAGGAAGCTTCCCAATATCTCATCCCTTCTTCTCAGTCACTTGAAAAGCATCTTGATAAATGGTTTTTAAAAAACTGCATTACTGATTACTAACAGTTAAACTTTTAAACACACTTGAAAAGCATCTTGATAAATGGTTTTTTAAAAACTGCATTACTGATTACTAACAGTTAAACTTTTAAACACATTGATTATCACTATCACCTGTACTTTATCCTATTAACTAGAAAAAAACTTAAAGTGAATGTAAAGGAATCAGTCAAGATCAATATGTTAAGCATAGTAACTCTTTTCATCATACTTTCCCCAACTCCCTCCCAGTTATATTTATCTTCATGTATTTTACATAATAAAACTCCTCCTCTCTTTGGGAGACTTCCCACTGCTTCCTTGGTTGGAGGTACTTCCTTAAAGAGTAGACAAGAAAGCATATTATCTTCAGGTTTCTTGTTGTGCTTTCTTTTTTGGACTTTACTCTTAACACTATTCATATCTAAATTCTATGTTACAAGCACTGTGCTTGTGTTAGCTACAAACCACCTCAACTTAATTTTAATAACCTTGTAAGTATTATCTCCATTTTCAGATTTAAAAACAGCAGCACAGGACTGCTGATTTCCTCATGGGCTACCCACTTCTTTTTTTCAAAGCCCAGATCCTTTCTGTTGGATCAATTTATTTCTCCCTTGATACTGGATGTTAGAAAATAGGACCATGCTTTTCTGGTCATAGAAGTAGGACTAAAACTCCCTGGTCTGGTTTGTTTCTCATGGTGATCACTCAAACTGGTCAACAAGAATGTTCAATGTGCCAGAATGGGCCATAATTTATCATAAGCAGTAACAGTTTTAATAATTAATCACACAATGTTCTAGAAACAGAAAAAAGGACTACCTCCTCAATGTAAAGAGGTCACAGACAATCTTCAGTGCAGAAGAGGAAAGGATTTGAACAAGTTTAAGGAGAAAGGGGACTTGAAAAGGAAGAAACAAAGTCAGAAATGTGGGCTGAAATGCAAGTTGTACCTGCTCCCATTTCTGTCACCTTATTTGAAAGAAGGCATTATTTGCATTTTAAATATGAAAAAATGGAGGCCCAGTGTCATATGGTTAGCAAGTGATGAACTTTTTTTGGTGATGGTCCTGGGGGTTGAATCCAGGGCTTGGGTGTTATCCCTGAGCTTTTGCTCAAGGCTAGCACTCTACTACTCTGAGCCACAGCGCCACTTCTGGTTTTCTAGGAGCGAACTAGAGATAAGTCTCATGGGCTTTCCTGCCCAGGCTGGCTTTGAACTCTGATCCTCAAATCTCAGCCTTCCAAGTAGCTAAGATTACAGGTTTGACCCACCGACACCCAGCCACTGAGCTTTTCTGATCAAAGCTTGCATTCTATTCTAGCACAGTTCCTGAATTTCCAGCTTTTTCATAATTAGAGATTCGTCTCATGGACTTTCCTACCCAGGTTGCTTTGAATCTCAACCCTCAGATCTCAGCCTCCTGAGCAGCCAGGATTACAGCTGTCTGCCATCAGTGCCTAGCAAAGATGCACTCTTAAACCCAGGTTTGGTTCTAGACCAATCTTGTCTTCACACATACTGGCTCCTCCTCTACTTCTTTTCTAGTCCTGCCCATCACTTCCTAGTTTCTCTGCAGCCTTAGCTCACAATGCCCTGTTCTCTAAACATCTAAGAGCTTTGCTTCATCTCACAAAGAACTTATAACAGAAGCTTAATGCCACCTAAGTCCTCCTAGCAATCTGAAAGCAGTCTCTCAAACAACATGAAATTCCTTGGTAACAGTATTTGTCATGATTTCTCTAACCCTCCCTTTAACTCAAGGAAAGCTTATGCTGTCTTCATGGCCCACTTAACCTCCCCACCTCAAAGGGTCACTCTTGGAAGTTCCACAATTCTCAGAAAAATCGCACCACCAGGCATACACCTCTCTCCACCTTCTCAGCCCTGAAACTTTGCATTGCCCTAGGCAGAACCTTTTGCCTCAACTGCCTGATTTTACTTCCTTGATGGACTATACTTAAACCCTGGACCCCGCCCACCCTGCTTTCCATGCTCCTTGTATATCCAACTGCTCAGTGGTACTTGGCGCCCCTCTCTCCAATGATGATTAAACCCTGGTCTGATCTGTTGAGATCTCTGTCCCCTTTCTTCCCTTTTGTTCAGTTGATCTTTCCTAACAAGAGTGATGGAGACACTACATACTTTCAAGTGACAGATGTATTCCATCTACCAACTGGGAAAGAAATGGTACTTAATAGGTGAGTGCCATTACGTAACCCTAGCTCCTTGGGAGGCCTAGAATGTTGAGATCAAGGTTCAAGGTCAGCCTAGGTAAGACTACTTCTCAACAAAGAGTTGGATGTAGCAGCACAAGCCCAGGAAGAAAATGGAAATCCTATCCCAAAAGTAACCAGTAGGAAACATGGCTATAGATATGGGTTAGTGATAGAGTGCCTGCCTAGCAAGTCTGAGGAACAGTGTTCAAACATCAGTACTGGAGGAAAAAAAAAAAAAAAGCAAAAGCAAAGACAAAAAACAAAGTACTTGAAAGGGGGCAATGAGCAGATATGAAGGGATCTATAACGTCTAACAAGTTTTACTCAATCAAAGAGGGCTGCACTCAGCCCATTACAAATACTAAAAATAGGTGTCCTTTGATCATTCCTAATTATTAAACAAATGCCTAATGAAAGAGACTAATAGTCCTGCTAATCAATTAGCAATTCCACTACCAAAGTCAGAGAGTGACTCTTACCTCCAAAGGTGAGCTGCAAAGGAATCTTGTGAACTGCAGTCAAGTTCATATGGAATCAATTTCACCCCATAAATGGACAGTAAGAAAGAAAAAAGAAGAAAAACTGTTACACAATTTTCCAGTAAAAGCCTGTAAAGCAAAGTCTATACAAAATTAGTGTTTTCATATAATATATAATTGATCCACAGATTTAGGAAGGTTCAATTTAACCCACAATAGGTACACAATTATTTCAAACCATTAAAATACACACGCATACCTCTCCTATTATCTGTATAAAGGCAAATAAAGCTGAACAATTCATTCTACAATATTTTACTTTTTTAAGCTTTATCTCACAAACTCTGTAACATTATACCTTTAAGAGAGCAACCTTCCCAACCTAACTCTCCCAGGCAAAGGCTAGTCAATGCCCAAAGAGGGAGACCATAAAGCATAGGGGAGCCAACAAAATGGAGAGACAGAAAAAGCAGGACCACAGGGACACAGGGAAATCCTGTTCTCTGCTCTCTTTTCTCAGTCCTATACTCCCTCCCTGTTTCCTCTCCCTTCCTCTCTGTCCCTCTCTCTTCTACTGTTCTTGTATGGCACATACACATGCTTACTGAAAGCCACCGGTTAATAAGTACAATATACTACTTGTCTCCCAGCAATTAAGTAAATAAATTTGTAGGGTGAAGGGATACAAACTACAGAGAACCCCTAAATTGTCTCTGAAATAAAGACTGTTAATCTAACTTCATACATGTATATCATATGGTGACTCACAATGTCTTCAGATTTATTTACAGAATCAACATTTCAGATCCTGTGCCCCTGACTTTAATAGTAAGGTACTGAAGTAGTCTAAACTTCTCCCCTTCTGGATCTGCACACTGACTAGGATCCTGTGCAGACAGGACCATTTCCAAGTACTCCTCAACTTCCTGCCACAACAAAGCTGGCTTTTACTCACAGAACGTCCAAATAACTCATATTCTCCTTCAGAGATACACACTGAAATATTTATCAATAAAAGGACATCATGTCTACAACGTCCTTCTACCTGCCCCAGAGAAGAATGGGGGTAAATTTAGAGATAAAACAAGAAATGTCCAGGATACTCAAGTACTAAGGTAGAAAAAAAAAACCACACAGGGTTCCTTACCTGATTATTTCTACTTTGCACAAGCTTAGCTTTCCAAAATAAAGTTTTAAAAAGACATCAAACATGCCCTTTCCCAACCTAAGTATACCAAATTTCATTAGCACTTAACAATCTGTGCAATTAAGTAGCTTCATCTAGATAATTTAAAATACCAAGACTACAGTAATTATTTAACCAAGATACAACTGATTATGATAACTGTTAAGAGAACTTTCTGAAAGTGCAAGATATTCCAAAATATTGTTTTCCAAATTCTGATATAAAACAAGATAATTTTATTGAAATTGAGAATGCAAGTTTACAATCAAGATTCTTTTACAAGTGCCCAACCTAAAACAATTCCTATTTGTCCTCCTCAAATTGTAAGGGGCCAGTTGAAGTACTAGCCAATTTTAACAGTAGAGAAAAATGAGTCATGTGTTATTATTTTAAAAATCAGAAATTTGATATTGTAATGTTTCTATATGCTTTAGCCCTGTAGACACTATGTTATACACATACTTTTGAATTTACAAGCGCTCAGTTCAGTAGTAATTGGTGCATCAATTAAGTAGCAAAAGAGAAACATAAACACTATTAGCAAAAGAGAAGCAAACACTATCTAAAAACCTGACATCACCTTGAAGCTCCAATAACTTACATACATCTTTGGCATCAGTAACATTTATGTCAAAGCATTTTCAAAACAGAGCTAAATAGTTATGTCTTGTTCAAACTGCTAAAATATGAAATTCACAAAAGTTTTCGATCCTAAAGCAGTAAAAATGGAATTCCAAATCACAAGGTATGCATTTTTACTATTCCAAAGACATGAAAAAGATTTCAAAAACTACTGTTTGCTATCCTTCATTTCACCTTACTGAATCGGTCATAATGAAAATACACCTTTCATTATGTTCAATACAAACACTTTGAGAAAGAGTAGTTACAAAAAAGTTAAATATAATTACAAAATCATATCATATATGCACTTAAACTGACAGCAGAAATAGACTGCTTGCAGTATAACTAAATTTGCCTTGTTTGGGCTAGTCCTCAATAGGTAGCACTGTTCACCTGACAGGTCATTACCAGAAGGTCATAAAATGTGAAGTTCCTCAGATTTAATGGCAAAAACAGACCCAAAACACAAAAGGTAAAATCAGAAGTGGCTCATAGCAAGATTAACCTGACCGCAGGAGCTTTGTACTCACTAAAATGCGCTTAGCTCACTGTGGGGAAATTTCTCAACAAACCCCTTCAGGAAATTAAAAGCAGCTTTACTTATTAAAGGACAACTATCAAGGGCTTCTGACATCATCTGAATTTTCCTTTTGTTTCTAACTCAAGTTTGACAACAGTATTTCCTTATGGGTATTTTATAATTTGGCAACTACTGAGTTCTCTCTCTCTCTCCAGCTATTACTTAAGAATAGTCCATTCTGCTACTCGTTCATTCAGTGGTGGCTCACTGGCCTGCTCCATTCCAAACACTCCTCTGGGCACTATTACAAAGTGTATTCTGTACACTTTGGATTTCAGTAATCCAGTATCGCTAACTTATCAAAAGAAGAGAGAGCCCCAATAAGAGGAAAAATCCAAACATCTATTCCCCTTCCGTTGCCAGTCCTAAGAAATCACAATAAATCTTCAAATAATGCCTTTCACATGTTATGTGTGGTATAATAGGATACAGAGTCAAAGTAGTATTAAAATTCTTGGGGGGAGGGGAGATGGGGAAGGCAAGGATTATTGGGAGAAAAACAAAGGAGTGGGTAACAATGTTTGACAAGAAATGTACTCATTACCTTACTCATGTAACTGGAAGCCCTCTGTCTGTATAGCATCTTTATAATAAAATAAAATTTAAAATTTTTTTAAATACTAAAATTAACCATTGACAAACCAACTGAGTAGTTCTGAATATTGCTTTTTTTTTCTTTTGAAAGACTGATTCTAATCTAATTAAAGTTTAAAACAAGGACTAGGGATATAGTTCTGTGGCTGGCAAGTTTGCATGAAGCCCTAGACTTAACCTTTGCACTGAAATGAATTAAAGAATATAATGTATGTGACCTCTGACTTCAAACAAATGTGAGTTAAAATAAGAGGGACAAGAAAAAAAATTGTAAATGTGAGAGTCTCGTTTGCTCTTGATGTTGGTGTCTCTGATATCCCAGTATGTATATACTCATCCATATTCTACTTACTAAAGTTAATCAGCCATGTACAGCATAATCCTTACAACAGACCCCAAGTTTACAAATGAGGAACCTGAAGTAAAAATGGGAGGAAGTGGAATTTATTTAGAGTCACAAGGTACAAAGCGGGTAGCTAAGATGCCAAGCAGAAAGGACTAACACTCTTAGTTGTGAAGCTCCTTAGCTTCCACATCACTAATACTCAGTCCCAACCTGCATGCAATCATACCTGGTACCAGCCCAGATAACTTTTTCCTAGGCACACTGGGTCTCAGGAAGCTGAGTCATGCAGAATGAGTACCTACCTCATACCAAACACTCCATATCTGACATCTAGTATCTAATTTTGTGGTCTCATTCTTCTACTTGGGGAAAATAACATGATTATACACAAATTACCTGCAATACTTATTGAGGTCAAGTACCAAGCTACTTCAGAACTTCACTCAGCCAAAAAGAGAGCTCCAGAAGAAAATGGTAGGTTAAAAATGAGGAAAAATTTACAATGCATATACTCACAGAAGGATCCCTTAAACTCCTTTTCCCACTTTAATTCTTGACTATAGCTTTACCTACAAATAAATTTGGTGATCTAGTTGCAATTTCCTCCCTTACATCTAGCTTTACTTTTTCTGTAACAACCACTGCCAACTTACTAATTACAATCTCATTATGCTTATTGTTTAATGACTAATTCTTTAATGAGTAAGGATGATTAGAGATAGTCTTGATCTGATGTATTAACTGATTTTCTAACTGTACCAAATGCCTCTCAACTAACAGCTGGCTGGCTAGAAGAGGTGTTCAATATGTATTTTAAGACACCTATCAAGAAACTACAACTTACATGAGGAGGGTGTGCAAAGAATAAGGTAGGAGCAGTTTACATGTATAAAAACAGAATGAACTTTGTTCAAACTGTTTGAAAAAGGGAGTAGTGGGGTAGGAGAGTGACAGAAGGGGCATGGTTGATTTGGATACGCCATATGCAAGTTACAGCACAGCCCATCTAGTATAACTAATATATGCCAATAAAAATAAAGAAACTAAGCCAGGCACCAGTGGCTCATGTCTGGAATCCTAGATACTATATCCTATATCCTGATTTGTTTCAATGAAAGCCTCATACGCATGCTCACACATCATCAAATAGCCTACACATAGTCTGTTAGAACTGTTAAATAATCCATCATAAGAATGTGTTATAACCTGGGCGCCAGTGGCTCACGCCTGTAATCCTAGCTACTTAGGAGGCTGAGATCTGAGGCTCGTGGTTCAAAGCCAACCTGGGCAGAAAAGTCTGAGATTCATCTCCAATTAACCACCAGAAAACCAGATATGGTGCTCTGGTTCAAGTGGTAGAGCCACTGTCAGGGACAGCGCCTAGGCCGAGTTCAAGCCCCACAACCAGCCCCTCCCCCCCAAAAAAATTAACATCAAGAAAGCTAAAGGATGTAAAGTTACATACAATAGTAACTAGATGGGGAAAAAGTTGAGGCTAAGGGCTCTAGGCATCCCAAAATTCTGTATCCAACACAGAACACTACTTCTGAAAGGACCGAGGAACCATTATCCACAGGCAAGTCCTGCTTAGCATTCTGTGTGACCTGGAGGAACACAACACACCATGGTAAGACTGTCACTCTCAATTACTACAAAATATAACATCTTAGCAATAAAGACGTTTTCACTATCTGCAAACCTGCTTATGCTGAACACTCCATCCACTGGTGAAGGTTATTCTACATCATCTATTTAAGCCAACCTCAACTTTTCATGGCAACTCATGGTGAAAAGTAAAAAAGCTGAATTTTCTAGACATTGTCCTGTCATGAACCATCACAATCCTTAGGACAAACTTCTTAATTCTCCAAACAAGTGAAGTTCATTTATGGAATTAACTAAGCTAATGTTGTATGATACGATGATTTTGTGACCTGAGAAAAATTTAGGAAATCATTAACCAAAAGAAATTTTTAAGAAAAATGTTCCCAGTCCTATATTTAACTACAACCCTTTGAATCTGCCTAAAAAGTAACAGTATGCTGGGAATTCCATAGTCCATTTGCTCCAATTAATATATGCAAAATATATATTGTAGTTTATCCACTATCAGCAACAAATGTTTACCACAGACCATGAGAAAGATTCCACTATGTCCTAACATAGGATTATTTCTCATAAAAAGTGGCTTTGGTTAAATTATATAGATAATTGCCTAAGCCCTCTACTTTATTAGCCACATGTAGTTTAGTGGTAGAGTAAATGCCTAGCATGTGTGAGGCCTTAGGTTCAATCCCTACTAAACTCTACACATCCCCTCAAAAATTTTAATTTCAAAATTCTTTTTTTTTTTGGGGTCCAGTCGTGGGGCCTGAACTCTGGGCCTGGGCGCTGTCCCTCAGCTCTTCAGCTCAAGGCTAGCATTCTACCACTTGAGCCACAGAGCCACTTCCTGCTTTTTTCTTTTTGCTTATGTGGTGCTGAGGAATCGAACCCAGGGCCTCAGGCATGCAAGGCAAGTGCTCTACCACTGAGCTACCTTCCCAGCCCCAATTTCAAAATTCTTAGATCCTACCATCATGGAAATTCAACTATATAGCAGAGTTAATTATCTGTAAAATAGCACATATCAAATGTGATTGGTCTACTTGCATAATTGAAAGAGAATGTCAGTTCTTTGATACATTGAACAATTTTCTAAATATAAATTTTTGTTACTTCATATAAAGACAGAGTAGAACTACTAGGAGAAAAGGGAAGTTGAAAGCTTTTTTAGCTTAAGTTCCAAAAAATACTTAAATCACTGACAAGCAAAGAATTACTTCTAATTAGCAATTTAAAGCTTCAATGCAAATTACTTCTAACAAATGATGAAAAGCATTTGTCCACTTCTTGGGCTGTGAACACAGGAGCTACATCACCCACACAGAGAATCACAAACCTAGACCACCACCTGGTGGCCGGAGTGAGACACAGCCCAGCATTCCACCAGCTCCTTCCTTGTCTCCACAAGTCAGCATGGGACCTTTCCTCTTTCTTTTCCAAATCAATTGCTGAACTGCATATGCCTGAATATAAGATGACTTATTCCATTTCAAAAGCCTCGTGTCATGAAAGAGACTATGGAGGGACCTCATTAATGAAAGGGTAAAATTTGGGGGTGGGTGGATACAACATGGCCCTTCGTGTTCTAGCATAAAGACCTGCAGGTCATTAAAAAAAAAAAAAAGGATGACTTAATTCCGAAGTATCTCTAAAAGTAGAGGTCTCCTAGGATTTCAATCTATCATAGAAAGTTCTACAAGTTTAATCTTAGAAATAGTGCTTTCTAGGAAGTAACCCTAATCACATTTTAAATTCACATTACAAATCAGCAACAAGAACGTGTTTACAGGTAAAGGGTCATGACATTGGGGACCTGACTACCATAAACACATGATGACGAGGGCAACTGACTGACCAAGCATGGGAGTGATGAAGCAGAGTGTTAGCCATGCTACAGTTTGCTATACTATTACCCCAACCTGTGAAGGCTTCAGACTTTCAGTCGAAGTTTTTAAAGTAAAATATATAATTTGTCTTATTCGCCCTAGGAACATAAATGCAACATAATATGTGAACTTTTGTTTCAAAAAAAGCTTAACTGGGGTTGGGGACTTAGCTCAGTGGAAGGGCACTTCTCCAGCATAAATGTATGTTATACTTTCCTCTCTTTTCTGATTTAAGAAGTAACTGCAGCCGGGCGCTGGTGGCTCACGCCTGTAATCCTAGCTACTCAGGAGGCTGAGATCTGAGGATCGCGGTTCAAAGCCAGCCCGGGCAGGAGAGACCGTGAGACTCCTATCTCCAATAAACCACCAGAAAACCGGAAGTGGTGCTGGAGCGCTCGCCTTGAGCTGAAGAGCTGAGGGACAGCGCCCAGGCCCAGAGTTCAAGCCCCACGTCCGACCAAAAAAAAAAAGAAGTAACTGCAAAAATAGCATGTATAAACTTGTATTGTTGGAACAATAACATGAGGGAAATGAATGCCTTCGACAATGGCATCAGAATGAAGGTGGAGAAAAATGCAACTATACTAGAGCAGAGGAAATGATACTAGAGGTATCTTGAAACCACAGGAACTAATGGGAATAAATGCAGAGTAAAGTTAGCTAAAATTGCTGGGGTTACTGCTAGGAGAACAATTAGTTCTAATGTGATAGCATTCACCTTTACCCACCAGCTCTCAGTGCCACAGATTATTTGATAGCATAAAGATCAACTTCTGCATGGAAAATCCATAAGCAAAACAAAAAGATAAAAGATCAAAAAGTCACAACTTTGATCACAAAAGGCTGTATCTGTAATACATGAAGAATTCCTGCCAAGTCCTAGTGGGTTATGTGTATAATCCTAGCTATACAGGAGGCTGACATCTGAGAATCCCAGTGTGAAGCCAGCCCAGGCAGACAAATCTAAGAGACTTTATGTCCAATTAACCAGCAAAAAACAAAACAAAACAGAAGCATGGCTCAAGTGGTAGAGTGCCAGCCTTCTGCATAAAAGCTAACTGGAACATAAGGTTCTGATAACCAGTATAGAGGGTTAAAAAGAAAAAAAAACTTAGCATATATATATATATATATATATGCTAAGTTTATAGAGGAAAAACGCAAACGGTCTCTAAATCTACAAAAAAAAGTTTAACTTCACTTGTAACAGAAAAAATGAACATTAAAAGCTACACAGAAATTTAATTCCCATTTATATGGCAAAAATCCCAAACTTTTATGAAATGCTCTCACCCAGGCCATAAAGGAGAAAGCATTCTCAAAGACTGTAAGGCAAAATGGAACAGCACCTATGTAAAGGATTTTGACTAGAAATCTGGATCACACATAGAAAATGCAAAAACTACATAATAAGAACACTTACTACAACACTGACAAATACCAAAAGACTAGAAAAAGCCAAATGACCATCAACAAAGGCTTATCTGAAAAATTATACTAGGATATACAGTAAATTCGGTGGGAACCCAAGGCCCTGAGCAAATTATAACTGGCTGCAGATGTGATGGTGTGTTTGAAGTATGAATGATACTGGTGGAAAACTGGCTGAAAGACACAAGTTTATGATTGTTTGACCTTTCAAATTAATTCCTGTCAAAAGATAAAAGTCTCTATATGTACTTACCTGAGTGAGGAAATTCCTGGATCCCTTACTGAAACTGCTTACATGCTTCCTGACTTTTGTCATCAACCTCTTGGAATGTGCCCTTTTGTCTATTTCTCTATAACCCCCTTAAGTTTGCCCCGGGCTAATTTGAATCTATAAAAGCATATGTTAGGGGAGAGAACTTGAGCTTAACTACATGTCGATTAAACTCATTCCTCATGCCACAGGCAGTAAATGGAATATTAATTAATAAACAATATTCTGAGATATCACTGCATTGTTATTTCTTCATGGTCAGAACCTTCCTTCTATTTATATCTTCCACACACTGCAAAGTATGAGATGTGCCTCATAGGTTACTTCTATAAACAGTAAGTATAAACAGTGCATCTGATAGATTATCTCAATATAAGAAGAGGGAAGCCAGGCCTGGTGGCTCAATACCTATAATCCCAGCTACTTATGAGGCAAAGATCAGAAGGATTGTAGTTCAAGGGCATCCTGGATAAAAAGTTTGTAAAATCTCATCACAATCAATAAAGCACTCGTGCCTGTCACTTCAATTATGTAGGAGATATAAAGACAAGGATGGTGTACCAGGCTGGCCCGGGCAAAAACATGGGACTCTACCGAAAAGTACCTAACCAAAGAGGGCTGTGAAAAAGTTCAAGTGGTAGAATGCCCACCCAGCAAGTATGAGGCCCTGAACTGGTAAGAACACATGTTGAATTTACAACCCTTTTTTCCCCAAATGATTATAATGTTCACATAGAAAGTGTCATCAACTGTACTTAACAGATAAGCAAATGGCATAAGGTTATATACTGTGTTCCTTCCCAATCTGGTCAACAAAAGAAAAAATGTTTAACAAACAGTACCTCAGTCTTCCCACATTCATCAGGCAGATCCTGGTGTATGGTCATTTGATACTTGACATATAAAGAAAAGGATTGGTTGAAGGACGACTTGAACTCTGGGTCCTCAAAGGAGACAGGTACTAACCTCACCTTCAGAGCAAGGAAAATAACAAGCAAATGCTATTGAACCAACAACTCTTATCATCTCAGGATATGCTTCTGAAGGTGAGGCTAGCGTATGATCTCCACAAATCCACTTCCAAAGCTCAATGGTGGAATCCAAAATGAAACCCCGGAATGGCTGCCTGGCACGGAGCCTGAGAGCTAACTTTGCACCAATTTGTAGGAAGGCCTTAAACTCAGAAGGGTCTAGACAGCTTGTTATCTTTTTTTCTAGTTTTCTCTATCCATCTGCTGTGGGTTCTGTTGCTATGATCATGGCTACTACTTTTGCTACCTCTACTTAATATATATTTAGTGTTTTAAGGGTTGTTTTTTTCCCCTTCTAGATGTTTCTTGGGTTTGATTTATAAAATTATAAGCATGTATCTATTAAAATGCTGCATTGTCTTACTTTTCTAATCTCATTCAGTTATGCGTGAGTAGCACATTAACAAAGAATAATTTAGATGTTACAAACTCTTTCCCAACATGATTTTTAAAGCATGGGCAAAGCATGCTTACCAGAAAAATATACATTTTTTCTCACAGGTGTTTAACTTGGAGCTCTATCAGTACCATGCAAATAAGTAAGTCCAGAAATTTCAAATAGAGGTCATTTTACATGTTATTCTCCATTTTGAGATTATTTATGATTGGCACTTGACATGATAACAAGTAAAATTTGCACTTTCAGAATGTCCGTGAACTCACAGAGCTCTCAGTCCAGACAAGCTGCAAACTGAACATAAAGTGTAGCACAAATAGACCAAGATCATACACAATGAAGCACAAGGAAGGTTCTGCTTGCACAGAAAAAGGACAACTGGCCTGCTGACCTGGCTCACAGTTGGTTTATCAGGTGGGTCCTTGTGAATAACCATCTGGTAACGTTTATAAACTTGGTAAGACTCCTGAAATGTGGCTTTGAATTGAGGACTTGGTGGAGATGATCTCACCACCCTCACCTTCAGAAGGAGTTAAAAACAAGGCTCATTAATTCACTCATTCATTCATTCATTCTGTGCAACAGGCATTAGCACTTACTCCCAATCAAGACAAACTAATTGCAATAAACCATGAACATATAAAAATTATTTTAACATAAAAGATCATCTAGTTAGTAAATAAAGAAAAAAGAGCTATTTTTGCACACTACAGACTTCTTAAAAAGACAAAGGAGAATTCTTCCAAACTCTGAAGTCTCTTCTGATGACTAAATTATGTAAACTTTTTAAAACTGGCAAGATCCTCCCTGATCAGGTAAAACATACACATTTTTACTCTTTAAATATGGATATATACAATTTGTAAACTCATCACTAGTGAATCAGTGGGGAGAATTAAAAATAAAAATTAAATATAAAAAACAATATAGTATAACATATAAAATAAGACTTAAAAACATATATATACATAAACATAGACATACACATACA